GACGGCCGAAAAGCCTCAGGCTCAAGGCAGCCCTGTCTACACTGCCCTAAAAAGTGGTAAAACAGACAGTAGCAGATATACCCAGGATTTACGAAAAGATATGTGGCAATCTGTTTTTTGGATGATTGAAGTTGAATTGTAAGATAGAATCACTCCACACTGATGCGGAGCTTTGAGAGAGAACTAAACAAGGTCCAGTGGACAAACTGGTGAAGACAGGGCGATGGCACTGGACATGACAAACGTTAAGAAAGCTTGAGAATAAAATAACTAGAATTAATGTACACTGGAACCCACAGGGGCATAGAAATAACGACAGACAACAAAAAAACGTGCAGAAGGGAGCTAAAGAATGAAGTTAAACAGATGAGGAGAACGTGGGGGTTAGCTGCATGCAACAATCAAGAACAGAACAACTTGGCGTGAGTTAACTGAGGATCTATGCTTCATCTGAGGATAGAAGGCAGAAAAAAATATGATATAAGTTAATGTGTGAATCGGTGAAATTGAACCCCATTACGATCGAACAGTGACCCATTAACAACCTGTCATACAAAGTGAAATGTATCATTACTCAGATGGGAATCTCCATGTACAAAACACAGAAACCCTCCCTATTCAATTGCAAGGTTATATTAGGACCTGGGTGACGTTCAACACAGCCTTCTTCAGAGCGGGTCCTCGATTTGCACAATAACGGGAATCCCAATTGACCCAGTTGGTATTTAAATAGAGTCGGCCGTGGTTAAACCCACCAGGACCGCACGACAAGCGATAGAAGCTCAGTCACACAAAGTGCTATCATTCGGATGAGGATCATCTGGGCACAAGTCCCAGAAACCCCTTTCAAACGTTAGGTTACATTAGAGCCTCCGATGACAGCCGGATAGGAGCTTTAGAATAACGAAAAATTGCGTCCCATATTATGACTCCCCCCCCCCCTTCTCTCTCTCTCTCTCTCTGTATGTGCGCGAGCGCGGGCACGTGCGTGTGGTATAAAGAGCGACTAATACCCGATAAAACAAAGTGCCTTTTTTTTCTTTTTTTTTTTCTGTCATTGGATGCTCTTTATTGTTTAAGTTTCTGGTGAAGTATAGTTGGCAGTTGAATTCAGAAAAAAAGAAAACACGTTGATGGACACGCTTGGTTGCGTGTATTAGAATAAAACTATGTACACATACTGCAATATTCACTTTTAAAAAAAAATCCTGTGCCACCAGTGACATAATTTGCTTTCTACTTGACCCATTCATGATATTAATTTTAAAAATCTTTTTAAAACAAAGTGCCACCGTTCGGTTGCGGATCACCAGGAAACAAGTTCCAGAAACGCCATTGAACCGTTAGCTTATATTAGCTCCCCATGATAGCCGGAGTGAAGCTTTGAAATAACGAAAAATTGCTTCAGGTTACGAGGTAACCATCGGAGGTTCTAACGGTAGTCCCGTCGCCATGGGGAGGGGGGGGGGGGGCAATTTTATAAAAATTTTTAAACAAGTTAATTTTTGTAGCTTTTCAGTAATTCTTTTCATCGTTCTCCGCGTTTCTGCTCCACGCCACAGTATTATCTGAGAAACTTATTTACACTATATTTCAAAATGATTAATAAAACCTGGATTTTCTACATCAATGGAAGACACATACTAAATCGGTCCATAATCATTTGCCCCCCATGTCAATAACAATTCTAAATTACGGAACTCCCTTTGGAATTCAGAAGTGGGCGTGTTCCAGAGCTATTTTAGAAAAGGTATTTGGGAAAGAAGGAGGGGAAGGAACTCGTGCGTGTTCCAGAGAAGTAGGGCTGTGTTAGGTAAGCAGGCTAGATATGGCTGGAGTAATTGTCCGTCAGAGCTTTATCTCCAGCGCCACGTAGGAACAGCGAAAGCTGAAGTTTGAAGCTTGCAGTGTATTCATTTTCTCTGCTCTTGTTGTTTTTTTCCTCTATATCCTGCAACCATACAGGAGAGAGAGAGAGAGAGAGAGAGAGAGAGAGAGAGAGAGAGAGAGAGAGAGAGAGAGAGAGAGAGAGAGACCTACACAGCAAGAAGGGTTCATTATTATAGATTTTGAGAGATTGAGAGGAAGACAAAATCCACCACGACGCGGTTTCGAACCCAAGTCATCTGGCTGATAAGCGAGACTCTCTAAACAACCTTATCCATAAGTACCCTATGTGGCTCAAATGAAACCCCGAGATAACCAGAGGACTGAGGATATCAATGACCTTGAATATCAGTTCCGCGCCCAGCGTAAAACAGGTACAAAGAAATGTCTTAGGAAGTAAAGGCCTATACACAAATAGGTCCGATGGGCCAATGGCGTGCGGGAACAAATTATTTACTTTCTGTTTATAATATTATTATGTATCATTACAGATTGGAAACGGCGTGGTCTAGCTGCCAGACACTCGCCTGCGGATCGGAAGGTCGTGGGTTCGGATCCTGACAGGAGCCGACTTTAAAAAAAATGACCTTGGCTTCCAGATCGACCCATCCTTGAGTGGGTACCAAGTACAGTCATGGGAAATAGAGGCGCCGGTGTGATACTGGCCATATCACCCACCAAGTGCCGTTTGGTCTATAAAATGTAGGTCTAGCCCTACATACCACGTCTGAAGGCGTGTAAAAGGTGCCTTTATTTTGAATCATTACAGATTCGTCGCCTTTCGAGAGAGGGACAATGCATTATTTTCAGACTAAGGACAGAGCACAACAAATGTTCAAACTGTTCGGTATAGGAAACACGGAGATGTGCCTCTGAAACTTGGCACCAGAAAATGCTGAGCATGTGCTCCAACACCGCCAACTGCATTCTGACAACAGAGACGCAATCTGGTCTGCTCCAACACCGTCAACTGTATGCTGACAGCAGAGCCGTAATCTGGTCTACTCCAACACCGTCAACTGTATGCTGACAACAAAGAAGTAATCTGGTCTGTTCCAACACCATCAACTGTTAGCTGACAACAGAGCCGCAATCTGTTTTTTTCCAACACCGTCAACTGTTTGCTGACAACAGAGACGTAATCTGGTCTGTTCCAACACCATCAATTGTTAGTTGACAACAGAGACGCAACCTGGTCTGTTCCAACACCGTCAACTGTTTGCTGACAACAGAGACGCACTCTGGCCTTTTCCACCACCATCAACTGTATGCTGACAACGGAGACGCAATCTGGCCTCTTCAAATCTCAATGAAAACAAAGTAAAATGACCCCTTTATGTTACGTCTATATTTGTATAGACCAATCGGCACATGGTGGGTGATGTGGTCAGCATAGTACATGGAGAGAATATGATTGCACCACAGCTTTCATAAAGGCCTCCTGATTGAGGTTTTCTGGCAGAAGACTCGAAGAAGAAGAGGAAGAAGAAGACTATTCTTAGTCGGGCTGTGGATGAACATGTTAACGTTATAGTCGACAGGGCTTTATCCCATGTGTCTCAGTCTCTCTCTCTCCCTCTCTCTCTCTGCAGAACGACTAGCCGGCTGAAGAGAGTGTCACACAAAGCACGAGCACCTTAGCTCCAACGACGATCCCCGTTAAGAACTACACTCGCGAAATGAACGACGCGTCCGTAAAACGAACCCACGACCTTCAGAACTCGAGGTAAACAGCTTGCCACTTTGCCAGAAGACTTCAGTAGGAAGCGATCTCGTTTGTGGACACGGTCGAAAACACACAAGTACAAACACAAACATACCTAAATGAGTCCATACATATTTACACACACTTCATTACAGCCATAAACATGTATCTACATACATGAACTAAACACCTACCTTACATAAGCATATAAACACATGCGCTTTCATAAAACATCATTAAAAAAAACTCACACGCCATGCGCAGATGCACTTACACAAACATGGACACATACACATATGATCACATACACATATGATCACATACACAGATACGACAAAATAAACACGCAGATGCGCATACCATATACATAAACATATATGCACACATACACACACCAAGCTAAAGCATTAAACAGGGTGTGGCGTGAAGAATTGTGCGCTCCAAACTGTACGCCTGTTGGCCTAGATATGCAACCTTTGATGCTGGCTAAATGGGGAGGGGTGTGGTGCAGATATGCGCTCTCACGCACACCCCTCTCTCGCGTGCGTTATCTGAACGTTGGCAAATTGCGCGGACAAAGGAAGCTTACCTACAGCTTAGTTATGACTTCCACACTCACCCTATATATACTGATAGACAGAAATACGAACAGACAGACAGATAGATAGACAGATAGATAGATAGATAGATAGATAGATAGATAGATAGATAGATAGATAGATAGATAGATAGATAGATAGATAGATAGATAGATAGATAGATAGATAGATAGATAGATAGATAGATAGATAGATAGATAGATAGATAGATAGATAGATAGATAGATAGATAGACAGACAGACAGACAGACAGACAGAAGGCATGGTGGAATTTAACCTGAATCAGTGGCTATAATACAAACATATCTTATTCTTCTTCAGCATTCCGAGCCCTTGAGGTTCATTGCTGCAGACATCACCCGCCTCCATTCATCTCTCTGGTTGACCTTCTCATTCCAGTTGATGACACCAAGTGTTTCCAGGCCTGTCTGGACATTATCTCTCCATCTTCTTCTTCTTGGTCTGCCTCATGGTCTACGACCATTCAATTGTAGGGGTTAAAAGAAATGACCCACTGCTCTCTAACAAGCATGTCATAAAATGCTACTAATTAGGGCTTTCTGAAATCAGGTGCGTTGAGCCGAAAGGCATAGATATTGCAGCCTAGCTGTAAGCCACAACAAAACATACCAACCAACCTTTTTTTTTTTTAGGGAGGAATACACAAGAAGAATACTGAGATTTATGTTAGCAAATATTCAACCTTTACAGTGGCTCCCTCTAAATAATGTCACACATTCAAATCAATATTCTCAACTCTTCAATCAACAACAACAAAAAACACACACATACAATGAAGGCATACTCACATAAAGCTTGTCGTGCCGATTGCCAAAGAAAGGAAACATGACTGTCAGGTTGATTCGTCCGGACCCACCGTCGTCTGAACGTTCAGTTGTCTGGTCACTGCTGGTGCCAAACGGGAAAAATTCGGTCACAGGAATACAAGAAGCTGGGTATGGCCCTTGAACCAGCAAGGTACACAAATTCAACAGCAGTACAGGAACAAGAACACTGATTGGAGAGTTCTGGATTCTGGCTGGGCTTGGTGAGTGGGTCGAGCTTCTGCATGTACACATTATATTCAGCAAGCATCAAGGAGGACGGAGTGGTGTAGAGTTGCAGGCAATCTGGCAATGGCAACGAGGGCTGGTGATGATTAAAGCTGCAGAAATCTGGCGTCAAAGTTAACGGACTCATGTCGGATTTTTCCTGGTCAAGAGACCATACAAGAGATTTCTACACACTATTACTTCAGCTGAAGCTCGAAGTAGCGGTAGTATGGGCCGACAGTTTGAATCCGCAGAAAATGATCTACACACTGTTGACCCACCTTGATATGCAAAGTGATAGCAAAAATGCATGTCCCTTGGAAAAATCACATGACTCCACGAGGATTTTGTACTGTCAATGACTAGATTACACCAGTAATTTCTTTAATTAAAAAAAAAAAAAACTGAAATCTCCTTTACATTTGCTTTCATAAGACTGGCATATGTGGATAGATATGTATCACAAATTCTCATCAAACTACATGCAAAAAAGAAAGATTAACCAACATAATATATAATTTACTATGCTTATCACGTGGGAGCCGTGGTAGTGAAGTGGCTATATGCCTACCTGCCGACCTGAACGTCTTGGGTTCAGATCCACATCAAGTGTGATTTTTAAAATTTCAATTGATCTTGGCTTCCAGGTTGACCCAGCCCAAAATGTGTACCGAGGTAATGTCCTGGGAAGTAATGGCGGCTGAAATCATCATCCGCAGAGTGACAGTTGTTCTACTGAAATGAGTCCAGTCAAATATTCCTGATACGCCACTGACATAAATAAGGCCTTTTACTGTTTACTTTTCTATTCTAATTATAATGTATTTATTCAGGAGCCATGATTGTTCGGTGGTCAGCATGCTTGCCTGCATGTCTGGTGGCCATGTGTCAAATCTCTGTGAAGGTGGAGATTTTCAGAAAACTGGCCTTAGCTCCAAAGATTTGACATTCAGTTCAGGAAGCAAGGGAAATTACGGAACATAAAATGTCTGATGAAAACCAAACAGCTGACAAATGCTGTAGTTGGTTCTGCAACTTCCTGGACAGTATCTACAACCGATCTTATAAGCTGATCCTGGCTAAACATGAACACTATTCATGTAGTCAAAGAAGAATAGCAAGCAAACACAGAACTGGTGTCAGTAGTCACCATCCTTTGAAGTCAGAGCTCATCTGCCTGAGAGGCAAGGAATAACAGTCTGCATATAAATAAGTCAATATGTAAAACGAATGTGCACACAACACTCAACTTCTGAAACAAGAATAAAGTCTAAAGGTCGATGAAAAACCTGAATTTTCCAATGGAGTTTACAGCCGGTGAACATGAAGAAGAAAGAAGATTAGTGACCACTTGCTGAGGAAGATCCTGAAGATGGGATCTGAGCGCTTAGGGACTTGTCTGATGTGAAATGAGGATGATCAGTCAATTAACTGACTAACTATAAGTCGACGATCTGAAATGAGTATCCCCAAAAATAATCCTGGAAAGAGTAGATAGTCGGCATGGTCTTGGCATGACCCGTTTAGTGCCAATTCTCTATTTTAAAAATGGGGATTAGCACACATACCTACTGTACCACAAGGATATCCCTGTGTGGGTTACATTGTAAAGAAAACAAGAATAGACCCACTGCCTTCCCAACAAGCAGGTTGTAGAAGTTGACAAACTGGGGACTTCCCTTGAAGTCAGAGTACATCTGCCTGAGAGGCAAGGAACAACAACTGCACACAAATAAGTCAGTATAATGGATGTGCATGCAAAACTCAGACCCTGGCAGAAAGAGTCTAAATGGACAAACAGGCAGGACTTTCCATTGAAGCATACAGCTGTGAACAAAGAAGAAGAAGATACCTCAAGGAATGGAACAGGCTTCTTTAATTTGTACATTCCCCGTCTGTGTTCCAGAGCCCCACTGTGTGGTAAAACAAGAATAGGCCCAATGCCTAGCCAAATACATGTCGTAAGAGTCCACTAATTGGGAGCTGTCTCCAAAGTCGGAGTACATTTTCCTGGGAGGCAAGGAACCAACCGTTTGCATGAAGATGAGTCAGACCTGTAAAATGGATGTACATGCAACACTCAGTTTCTTGAACAGGACTAGAGTCCAGAAGTGGACTAACAACCACAAATCTCTGCCAGAGTTTTCAACCAGTGAACGTGAAAAAAAGAATTTGTTTACTAGTATTCTGTACATTTAGCATGCGTAGAACATTATGCATGTTTCCTCAATTATCTGGCTTCCGTTTTTATTGTAATTTTCTTCAATTGTATTCATTGTGTTTTTTTTTTTTTATATTAACATTTTATTTACACAATCGACTTCGCAAACACAAGAACACAAAATGTACAATCGGCGAATCAGCCATGTGCACATGTGTAATGGCACCTGAGACAACAGAATATGTCATCTAAGACTGTCCCAGATACAACTTATCAAGGCAAAACTTTTGGCCAAGAGAAACATTGGTGCAAGTCAAACTTTACGGCTCGTTAAGTGAATTACAAAAGACAGTGAAGTTCCTACTATAGACAACACTGCAGATATAGATAATTTATTTTAAGTGAATAAAAGAAGAAGACGACAAAGATTTCATAATATACACAATCTTTTTTGTGTAGCTTATATTAAACATCTTACCCTCAGCAGGATATGACAGGATAAAATAAATGGTATGTTCTAATCTTTATTTTAAGTTGTTCTTTAATTTTGTTTCCTAGATTGCCTATTTATGCTTGTCTGACAAAGTCTTACTCTGCAAAAGCATGCAATATTTGTTTTGTTGTTGGTGAAAATTGACTGCGATCAAAACAACAGACTTTTCCTGGTGTTGAGATACACGGTATCTTCCTGGCTAATGAGTATCTGAACACCAGAGAATTTTTCACTGCTGCAAATGTGCACATGTTTAAACTGGGGAAAATAAAATGGCAGAAAATGAAGCAAATAAGATGTGTAAATAAGACAAACATGATGCAGTCGATAGGAGACTAATTTTCAAATCTAGCTGCGACTCGCTGAAGCCCACGGCCGGTATTCGAAACCAGGCGGTTCCTAGGGTTCACCCAGCCTCTAGGTAATGGGTACCAGAGTTAACATTCTGGGTAAATGGAGGAAAGTCACTGTAGCTACAGAGTTGTGTGCAGACGGCGACACAGGCAAACAGTTTCTTATCAGCTGTCTGTACTGGTGATAGAGCATTTATGGTTTATAACTGTGTGCAATGACGCTGGTTCACATCTCCCGACTTTACCCTTTTAAGACAAACATATAAAGTCTAAGTAATGATAGTAAAATATAAATAACTCTGAGCAATGATAATGTTAAAGGATAACAGAGAAAATGATGACAACAAATAATGAACTTTCAAAAGAAAGCATAATTACAAATTACTTCTTCTTCTTCTTCTCTTCCATCTTGTACCTCATCAAAGTGTCGGGTAGAGATGTAACGTTCGTTGCTGAGCTCTGTCAAGAGCACTATTAAGACTGATGTTCATTTTTGTAAGGCTGTTCTTAATGCCATCACTTCATATTTTCCGAGGTCTTCCACTGGCTCTATACCCATTGTAGCGTTTTAGTGTGGCTCGCTGTGGCAGATAGTACCAGGGCATTCTTGTTAGGTGTCCAAACCACTTCATTTGTTGTTCTTTGATGACCTGTAAGACTGGCTTTATTCCTAGCATTCGTCTGATTTCGTGATTTTGTATTCTGTCTTTCCTTGAAACTCCTGCAGCTCTTCTAAGCACAAATTACTGAACACTCTAAACAAGAACTTGTCTTGTTACAAAGGGGATTACAACTCTTCACAATAAAAACATTACTGAAACTGCAACTTGGAATGGGATATTTCATACCCTTCTGACAGGACTCTACTTATATATGGAAGAGGAGCAGGTTCCAAAGACCCCAAGAGCTATGCCAAAGGCGGCAGAGTTACTGATACAGAATCACAAGCTGAGGAGATCAAGAAATAGTAAACAGACAAGAAGTGACACAGCCTGCTGGCAGATGGGTGACAGTCTACAGCTAGGGGAAATAAACCTTTATAACTTAATACTGATTTCAGAATTAACACGACAGCACACCGGGCATACCCAAAGTTGCTTCGTCTCCCGCAGCAATTGTCTCAAGATATATATATGCTAACTGTTCATTTAGTATATTAATTATACACACACATCGTTCTTTTCCTGTCATATGTCCCTCCTTGCCGGATCCACTCCTAATTTGGTGTTTATACATTCTTACATACAATGTCATATAACCTTGTGTCTTCTATCAGCATAGTGGTGAACTGATGTATGACAAGCTAGATGTTGTGATGGCCCTTTGGGAGCGTGTGAATAGTGTGGAGACACAAACAGATCATTACAGTTTAAGGAGAATGGCACTGGGGGAAGTTACCAGGGGATCTAGTCAGCACTCAACACTCAAGGGAAGGCTGAGACAGATGTACACTCACACAGTTACTGGTACCATCTGAATTGGTACTCTTCGCTTGTTGCTGAAGATCAGGAGCGCTTATGGGAGTTTCCCAAGTGCTATAATGTTGTTGTTTTTTTAAATTCAACATTCAATATTCTATCAGCATTCATTCATTCATAAAAGGTCTTCAAGATGACTCTTTTTCTCAGTATGAGTGTTACTTTGAAAAAAAAAGTTGTCAAAATCAGAGGTATTCAGCCACAGACTTGACAAGACAGTGCAAAGTTATTCGCCTGACCGGGATACTTCACTATAAAAAACAATATGTGTATGACAATGGAAATCATGTTAAAGTCAGTCAGTTTTAGTAAACAAATGCAACACCAAAGCAAAAGAGACTAGTCTGATGCAAGTACTTGGGCACACTTATAACAGCAGAAAGAAGATGTATTACAGAAGCTTAATATAGCAGCATTTCACAGAATGAAGGATATTTTATGCACTTTCTTTGTTAAATCAGGGGAAAAGGAGAGGTGTCAAGTGATAAACAAAGCCAGTGCTGATGTATAGGAGTGAATCATAAACTTTCAACAGATAGGTG